AAGCGATGTAAATACAAATTATTACACAAAACTAACACAATGGTAATATGGCATAATAATAATAATTTCTAAAATCATCAACAGAAGCGTCATGTACTCGAAAAACATTTTTTAACTCAATGAAAACAAGGTATATATCAAATATTTGTATACATCACTAACATACTTATCAACCATGCTCCAGGTATCAGTTGGGTATCAGTTCCAACACTTCCGGTTCCTGAATTCTGGGAAATCCCCTTGCCTAAACACAGCCCTAAATTCTGTTTCGTGAACCAGCTTATTTATTTCCCATCCCACGAACTGATTTTCAAACTTTTTCCGCTAAATTTCGCACCTTTTCGAACAAATTTACGCTTTTCTGGTAATTTAACCCCCTCCCCCTTCCCCGCGCGGCCAGTTTTTGCCCTCTTTCAACTAATCATTCAAAACTTTCATGGACCAAAACGTCTTAGCTGTTGCGCTTCGGGTTGTCTGCCCTTCACTTCTGCCACATTCCTTCATTCCGCTCGTTTTCTTCCGCAACGCTTGTTGATATTCCTGCAGATCTTTGTGATGATTTCAGTCTAGTTGCGCGTGGTTCCCAATTAATCGAATTTTTCTCCGCACAGTCAATTTTGGCACTTTCCTACCTCAGCAAGGTAAATGTCTCTTGTCACTTTGGGCGCATGCAGCTCAAGCATATTGGTATGTAAAGGTTTAACTAATCTAGAAGAGATATTAAAATGTAAAATAACATATGAGCTAAGTTTTAAGACAGCGTTCAAATTCATTCCACCATTTCAGCACTTATTAAATGCTGCTTATATAATGTCAAAAGAGCGCACGCAAGGGCGCCAGTGCAGTGGAAGGATCCATTCGAACGGCTGTAAAAAAAATTGTGTGGATGAGAAACGTGCAAAACAGAGAACGATTAGAAAACGTCAGCTACATCAATGGCAAGAATAATGATGAAACAACAGCTGATCAAAGTATCAAAGTATCTCAGCATATACACACACCTACATATCCATACAAGCATAAATGTAAGCTTTTCACAGAAAAAGCAGGGAAAAGCAAATTATTAGTGCTCCAAATGGAACAAAAAAGGAGGAAAATCTAAAAAGCAAACTCAAAAAGAAAAAACCACAACCTGAAAAATTCCAGTAAATTTCATAAATACATTTACTTCAGGGCCTGCGAAACACCAAAGCCAATATCTCTTCTGTATTTACCCGCTAAAAGTGGAGATATTCGGGAGTAGGCCGAGTGGTAGCCCCAGTAAACAGCAACCATTCACTGGCAAGGTGTTGAGGACTTGCTTTTCCGAGAGGCTGTTTAAAACATGGCTTTTGCTTTCGAAGTTTGCTTAGAAAAAAGTTGGGACCAATGATATACGAAAACAAAAGAATTTAGATTATGAGCAAATCATGTTCTTTCGAAAAGCCACTGCATCGATTACGATGATAACTAAACCCAATATGCAGAAGAATCCAACAGACAAATAAGTTCGACTTCCAATGTCTATCAAAAAGAATAATTTTTTTCAAACAGTCAAAAAAACTTGCCTGGATCCCTTACACCTAGTTTTAAGCCGAACATAGCCATACTAGGCCCAACACTGATGTGTGTGTTAATCAAAAATCACAGGAACTGACTAAAAACTAGGCATAAATATAGCACCGAAATGATAAATTCACAACACAGTATAAAATGAGGGAAATTTTAGCCACACAAAAGAAATGCTGAAAAACTGAAAAAACTCAAATAAGATAAAGCAAGCAACTCTTAATCGACTACATAAAATCGCGTTCGATATAGATGAAACCAAGGAAAGA